TTTTTTTAAGTGCCATAGTCATTAAGCTATTAAAGCACACTGAATCACACAGAAGCCAACACCATATTTTCACTGACTTAAATATTACAGCCCTATCCACTGTCAAGCAGAGCTTCTGCTCTCTGACTGTTTATATACTTCCTAAAATTACTCATTAGCAATCCATTGTTATGATCGCCTCCATTTTGTATATATTATTCACTGGAATGCAAATTGAAATTCAAACATCTGGATGTAATCTGGGCAGCCTCTGAAAAGCATATCTCTGAGTAATTTCCCTTACGTTTGAGCCTTACAGCTTAATTAGTCAACTTTTTAAGCCCATGAAATCATCATGTGCAAACCAGAATATCTCTCAGCTAATAGCTCATGATGTGAAAGACCACTGCAAAAAAAAAACCAAGAGTGCCTTAATGAGCTACAGTTAGAAAAGGACTAAATGATAATATGCCAACAGCTTTGTATAGACAGGAGGGAAGACAAATGGAAGCCTCTTTCAAGTCATCTTTGCTCCCATGAATAATCCTTATGGCCCTTTGAAGTTAGTAGTACTACCCACATACGTAAGAATTACTCCTGAATATGAATTATGTTGGGCAAGGCTATTACAGACATCGGCATGGAAAGGTAGGTTATATCAGAAAGTTTCCTAGTTTAGACCGGGGGAAAGGGAGTTTTCACAATGGTGGGATTTTGCGAAATCCATCAAAATCAGCAACTGTACTCACCAATTGATTCTGGTAGGCAGTAACAGCTGTAAAAACTGTCTCTGGAAAGATAAATGTCCTGAACTCTTCAGATTTCAGATTTAGCAAAGAAGCTGTATGATCCTTTTTCTTGATAATGTGGACCCTTGGCTGGTACTTGTGCATGGAGTTCAAAATGATCTGCAAGAAAGAGTGACAAGGCACTGTCTTGAGAGGAAGGTTAACAGGACCCTTGAAGGCTATAAAATTGTAGAGGAACAAGAACAACAACAACAACAAAATCCAATTAACACTGCAGGGGAGACATCTGAAATCTAACCAGCCGGGGCTGATTTTCAGAGCAAACTCTCCAGCTCCTGTGGGCAGTTCCAGAAAACTAAGGTGGACAAGCAGGCATGCCAGGAGCTGGTTTCCTTCCACTTCTTTGCCACTGGTGAGCACACCTTTTTGAAGCATAAATACCTGTTCCTACAGGTAAGGTGTTTTACATACAGGATTTGTTACTGCCAGCAGGTATCCCAGTTTGCAGGTGTCAGCAGCAAGTGTAAATGTGTAACTCTTGAAAGCTCATGATGGAGAACCTACACTTGCAAAACTTTACAGGTGCAGAATGAAAAGAGCCAGGAACCTCTCAGGGAAAAAAAAAAAAAAAAAAAGAGGCAAAAATAAAACTCAACCAAAAAAACACCAGCAGCAACACAAACCAGCTGACCAAAAATAAAACTACCCAGATCCGTTTACTGTGGCAAGCCTTTAAAGCAAACTACGTCGTAGATGCTCTTCACCGCAGACTACCAAAAATGAGAGCAAGGAGGGAAACCAGTACAGAACCCCAAAATGACCAGGTTTTGCCATTTTATTCTTATTAATAATTGTTTACGAGCTCCCAAAACAGTTCTAAACCTAATGTACCAACTAACCCATTTCAACGTTCACTGGCGTCAAACCCAGAGTCCCACTTGCTTCAGTTACCACTGGCTGGAGGCCTGTTTGGCTGCCTCTAACCACAGTATTACAATATAAGAATTAAATACAGAGCTCGGCGCGTACCAGTCCTTGTTTTGGATATAATCACAGTCACAAGACGAAATTGGCAATGGTGTGGGTGGTTCTATTTTGCAGGGGCCATAACGACATTGCAGCCAGCCCCGTACATCTGGAAGAGCTAATGTGCATTCCTTGGGAAGCATTAACTTCAGCTGAAAGGCAGCAGAAGCAGTGCAGTATTTCATGCTAACTCAGTCAATGAGAAAGGTTGCATATTGCATTGGAGCGAAGAGCTTCAAGACAGCTTTGTCATGGCTAAAAGTTTCATCAGCATTTTCTTCACTGCTTCTTCAGGACCAAATATTGCTAAGACTCCCACAGTGACTTTGTAGGGCCACATAGTGAGAGGAAAGTTATTACAGTGGTGGGGAGCCATCATCCTGAAAGTGTTTCATGCCTGCTTTTACCAACTCATGCCCTTTCTCAAGTCACTTTACCATTTTATAGACGCACACACAGAGCAGCCATTGACCCTGACATTTATATCCTCAGCATTTTTCCCCCTCTTTGCAAAATTTTGTCTTACCAGCCTAGTCACTTGGGCTGCTTTAAGCATCTGGAAAAGACATTTTAAAGGACAGGGCATGAATGATGATGAGCTTACTGAGAGGTTGGCCCACAGAGCTCAGCACTTCCCATTGCCTTTCATGGCCACAATATGCACACCGAGGCATTACATCTGAGCAGCAGCCGACTGGAAGGAGAAAGAAGCTGAGACAGAACAGCTCCCACACATGCCCTTGCCTTTCACTCCTCTGTAAATGCAAATTGTGATTAAAAAACTCAGTTTCTCTAACAAAACCAAATAATCCTTGATGAAAGTTTTCTGAAACCAGATGTGCACATGGTTAACATCTGTGCCATGATGCTTTATCAGTGCCTTCCCACCAGAGGCAAGTCAGGTCATTCAGGTGCAAAGAAAGTACCGAATGTAGCCAGGAGGTCACAAAAGACCCATGACCAAGGTTAAGGTCACTGTTTCCTTTTCATGAGGGTCTGTGTATGTGGTGTGCCACCTGCATCCCTGCACAAGCTGCTGATGTTGCAGCACTCACTGATAACAATGTCAGCAGGATACTACATGATACCCCTTAATATCCATGCATCTTCTTAAGTTAGGACCATTAAAACAACCTAAAGGATTTAAATACTCAGGGTGCATCTCACAGGATGGTCTCAAAGTCCAAGCAGTCCTCTGCCTGCATGGTGCAGCTAAATCCCTGATGCCAGCTCTGCGATACTCATGCTGGTGTGCCCCGAGAAACATCAGGTACACATATACTTAGGGCAGCCTCCCAGCACAAGTGTACTGGCAGTACAGCATGGTCACAGGCACCCAGCCGTCCCATCTGCCGTTGTGCTGACAGCCTGCAGCAGGGGAGATGACCAGGATCCTGCCTGCTGTAAGGTCAGGCAGGTTTGTAGGCATCTGGCCCCCACTGGTGACAGACTGGTCGCCAGAGGCAATCCAGATGCCAGCTGCAAAATCCTCGAGGTGGCTTTGAATTCAGGAGCTATGCTGTGAATGCAGCTTCCATATTCACCAAAGAAGAGTGTTACCAAGTAAATTCTGCTTTCTAAAAGTGTGGAGGTTCCTAACTTTTGTCAGGTTGATGTTAAAGAAAAAAGTCCTGGGCATAATTCCTTGTGGCTATTCTGAAACCCCTGCTTTCACAGCTAGTTGTTGGTCATGTTCACACCTTTGTGTTTGCTTTCACAAACATTCATGTGTTTGAGTTTTGCTATCATAAATGCCAGAAAAGTAATTACGATAACATGTACGCTTATAGTTCACCTCACTGTAAACCAGAAACGACACCACCTCAACTAAGTGCAACCAAATAACCTAAAAGAAGCAGTCTGTGTGAAAGACTTCATCATAAATCTGTGGGGGAAAAAAAAATCACGTTTGTAAATGTTCCACCACAAGAAAAATGGAAATTACTTGCTTGGCTGTAAAAATCCAGAGACAGGAGCCATTTCCTTCCGCTGGTAAGGATATCTGAGAGTGTTTCCATGGAGCAAGCTGTATGTCATGCACACAGAGATAAGACTTCTGCCTGATGCCTGGGGAGAATATGTACATAGCTATGGGGTTACGCATGCTGCTGAAGATACACAATCAGAGATGCTTGCCAGCTCCAGAGGTCTCGGAATAACAGAAAACAAACAAATGCTATAACAGAAAAATGCCTCTCCTCTCTTCAGATTCCTTTTCAGGAAATAAACCACCCTACAAATTAAACACCACAATTAGCTTAACAACCAAAACTGTCATCTGAAGGATGGAGAAAGTAAGCAACTAGAACAAACTGGAATCAGGTTGGATCCAGCATCTCTACCTATAACTAGAATTTAAAGGTGTCATTTAGGTCATTAAAACTTCCTCAGGAGCCAACGCACCTTATCAAACATAATAAGATTTTACCAGGTGAATTAAAAAGATCTTGTCAGTGAAGAAGGGTTCTTTTAAACAGAAGGAAGAGGTTTCAGGAGGCATTTCAATTCTCCCCTTTTTTTAGTACACAGGAGCTCAGAAATGCCATTGACTGTAGCACAGTGAGCCCTTCTTAAAGGCTCCAGAAAATTAATTTCTTCCTTAATTTTACTGAACATTCAATGATGGTATTTATGTAGCTTCAATCAGGCAGCTTGTAAAACCTGACACCCTAATTAGGAACATACAAACCCACAAAATATTTAAAAGTTAGTGCTCCATGGTGGCGTAACACCTGCCATGCAAATCTCAACACAGGACCAAGCCTTTGGGGCTTATTCTTAACTGAACATGCAAAACTTCCCATTGACTTTGGCTATCCAAAGCCTTCGCATAACGAATAGGATCCACCTCTGTGGCTTCTTCGTAAGTTAATTGGGAGTCTGCATCTCAAATGCTACCAATCATTTTCTCCCACTGCCACTCTTTGACACGATTACATCTTCTTGCTCTGTCACATGTCTCTGTTCCCGACAGCTTCTCAGACCTACTTCTTTTTCATACTCATCTGGGCTTCTGGGAACTGCACTGCTCCTAACTACTTTGCAATATACTGCTGCAAGACCTTTATTAGAGGCACACATGGCCCCTGTTATGATGAAAAATGTTTCTTTTTAAATGCGTACGTATACTGCTCTATCATCACTCGGTGATAGAGCTCACAGATCTTCAGCTTTGCCCTTCTACAGATTATGGAATAAGAGACGGGGGATGGGGGGGAATAAAAGACATTCGCTGCTAGTCAGGAAGGGAGCAATGGTGGGAACCAGATTCAAGAAAAATATACCCACAGACAGAACTTCACAAAAGAACAACACTCAGGCATCTATCTGGACTGTCTGTTTTTTTCCAGCTACTTTTGTTGTTGTTTTCAGGATGTATTTTAAATTATCACAGCTGTGGTTCAATTTGTAGGTCTTGAAATAAGTAAAAGTTGTCTTTTGGATGAGAAGCATTTGTACAGAACACAGTTCAGGCAAACAGCCACTGTCTCACACAGTCCGAAAAGGCAATAAATACTTCACTGGGGGAGGGATTTCTGGCATAGCATACACCACAGTTATTCAGCTTTATAGGTTAGTTACCCCTGTGCATGCTTCAGAGTTCAAAATCACTCCTCTCTTCCCGACATCTTGTTTACTAACACTGACTTTACACTCATTAACTGCCCCATTCTTAACCAACCACCCTTTCAAATCCATCCCCCTGCTCCTTCAGCCTTCCCCCGGGGAACCACCAAGCTCAGAGACAACACTTTTAGGTCTTTCTTTGCAATTTGGAGATGTTACCAAGCCATTCCTGCACTTTACAGGCACTTTTGGAAAGAGGACAGGATGGACAACACTTTTTCTTACCACCTACCATGAGGCAGTCAGGTAGCAAAGGAGTTGTCCCTGCTGATGGAACATAGCAGGAGCTCATGGCCAGCAGCTCTGCACCCGATTTGTCAGCTTCTAGCCTCAGGGCAACAGCCTCAGTGAAAATAAACTGATACCAACCAGAGCTGGGAGCTGTTTCCTTTGGAGACCCAAGTCCACCCTGTGGCATCTTGGCTTGCAGATAGCCTGCAGTTATTTCAAGGGCAACTGAGGCACGCTTATTTTTATAATTCGATAGCCCTTGTTTCGGTGTCACATCAGCATTTTCTGCTGACTCTGTGCCCATGTTGCACTGACTCTGGAAATACAAGAGCTCTTGTTGGTGAACTCAACCCTAATAGGTTACCTGTAACGAGAAGGAGCTCGTGGAAAAGCATGTGAGCTTGCTAACCAGTGCAAGTGGCAGACCATACTGCCAAGTCACAGCAAAATGTGGTCAGAAGCATGACAAAATCTCTCCTGCCTCCCTTTGCTCCCTTGCTGTGATGCTCACCACCACCGTGAACTTGTCCCCAGTGGATGTCCTGCCTCTGATGATGGTAGGACCATAATTTGAACACTTGCATTGACCTGGGCTCTACCTTAAGAAAGGTAAAACACCCAAAGTTAAAACCCAACATGTTTAAGCTTCACACAGCATCCCCCTCCACCGTGGTATGAAGGGCTCGCCAAGAGAGGTGTAAGGTTGGGGCCATGGTAGCCTTTCCCCATTGCAATCTCTATTCCGCAAGCTTAGCCCTGTGGCACAAGTGAGCAATTCCCCTATAGCAATTCCTTTATCCTTTTCCTTGAGAAGGGCTACTCACGTGGCCGTGCTGATCCAGCTCATTGTTCGTGAGTTTGACTTTTTCAAATGACACCATCTGCTTCAGCAGTTGCTCTCCAGTGAATGGGGAGTCAGGGTGCACGTACAACCTAAAAAAACACAGGGAAAAGGCAAGCTCATAAAAAAATCTCACCTCTTGGCTTCTGCATAGGCACCACTTCTGTATGAAATTAAAAAGCCCATAATATCTTGCTTTTGGAATCTGTGGTAGTTTCATGGACATGCATTTCCTGAGAGTTTAGGGTAATACAGAGCTGCTAGTTGAACAAGACATACACAATCTCCCCAGAATTAATGAATGCCTGAAATATGACCTTTAATGAAAGACAGTGAAGCAGATGACTTGAGTTGTTTAATTCACTGGAACATAATGAAGAATCCCATGTCCAAGTGCTAGATTGCTCTCTAACCATACCTATTGTTTTATCTAGTTATCTAAAATGGAGGCTATTAACTAACATTCACTGTTGTGTCTTTTCCCAAATGAAAAATTGATCATGCCTTTCCCCACAGCTGTACTAACAAGCACTTAAAATAACAATGACTACAGCTCTGAGAGAAAAAACATGGTGTCATTAGAGAGATAGTGGGGGAATGCAGATAAAAATGCATTTTTCTTTATATGTAACATTAAGCTGTGATAATGATTTTAACCTGCACTCGATCACACGTTAGCTGTGGTGACGTCTGTTTATAAGAGGTTGAAGGCTGCAGTTCAGCACGGTTGTCTGACATGCAAAAAATTAATTGCAGCTCTGTAATTAACAATCTATCACTTGAGAAATTAAACAGAAGAAAAGGAAGCACGGAAGACATGTAGGTACAGTGATATATGCATTATGACTAGACTAATTACCAGTGCCAGGCTATTTTTAAAAAATATTTTATAGGAGTAATGTATTGCTGAAAATTACTTAACTTGAATGTTCTTTTGTGTTAATGAATTAGGAGCTTCAGCTAGTGCAAACCAGACCTGACCTGCTTGTGCTGGTTATCACTCACTGAGGGCCTGACTCTCATTTTGGGTGATGCCTTTGGCCACATGGATGGATTTCTTCCATTAGGTGGGTGGGGCAGTGCTGAAATGCTGGGTTAGAAAGATAAACGCTTTTTGTTGTTGTTGAGCTACAATTTTGGTTAAGCAAGAAGAGAATGGAAAAACCACTAAACGATGGGGCATAACTTTCCGATAGACTATGCTGATCCCTAATCAAGGAATCCCCATATTCCATAAAGACCCCAGGGAGCTCAGCTCTGTTGCTCAAAGGGGAAGATTTGATCCTGCACTCTCTGTTTTTGCCAGCAGAGTCCCCAAGATGCAGTGAAACTAAATTTTTACCAGCACAGCTTGCTTCAGGAGTGCAGGATGTTTTTCTTACATTGATCTGAAGCACAGCTTCCTTGGTGTAGCTGTGTCCACGGGAAGGACGCTGAGCCAGGGCTCCTGTCACAACAAAATGTCCCTACCATAGAAGCATCCTCACTGCTATCAACTCTGCTGATCGCACTGAAAACTCATTAAAAATATGATGTATCTGAAACCCCAAGACCTGTAATCCTGTTATGTCAAAAGATTTTTTATATCTCATTAAAATTAACTTTGCCTTCCTGTAAAAAAAATGTGAAAATCTCGATCTTTAGAGCCCTGAATTAGAGAAGGCTAAATAAAGAGTCCCAAACATGTCCTACAGCTTTTCACCTGGTCTTGTGATTTTTTTAATTATTTTTTTGGAGCCTGACTCCCAGTTTTGAATGTCTGGATAGCTAATAATGTTTACTGTGATTACAGAGTGTCAGGCTCAGCAAGGTTTGGTTAATTGGGACCAAAAAGCCAAACTATTTCAAATATGTGCTGGGGAATGAGTAAAGATCTTCATGTGTCCAAGAGCTGAGCACAATTGTTTCACACCATAGGCGGTTAACGCTTGGCACTGCTTTCAGACTACGAATTGCCTGGATTTTAGCAGAGCAATATGGGAAAGTCATTGAAGGATGGGCACCTGAATATCAATTACATAAATGTATTCTTAGACCTTGCTTTTCTTTATGTATTTGCTACACACCGTCTATTCCACTGCAAAGCATGGTTGCACCTGGTGAACTACACCTATCTGCACCTATCTGCACACTTCTCCTACAGCCTGAGCTTGTACACCTTGGAGGAGAGGGTTCAAAACTAGACATACCACCCCCTGAAGCAGAAGAAGTCGAGGAGACCAGGAGTGCTCACAAGCAAACAGGTTAGAGAAATAAACACGCGCATTCCAGCACAGCACACGAGGGTCCCTGAGAAGCTCTCACAGGCTCTGCAGCCTAAGGCTGGCCAGATGCAAGGAGCTGTTCACTTCAGCTAACAAAGGCTTTAAGAGCCATATTTGGATGTGAATTTGCTCCACTTTATATAATGTTTCGTGATATATGCAAGGTTTGGGTACCACTTCCTTCTTGCGTATTTTGGAATGTGACACCACTCTCCTTCTATTTACTTTAACAGTCAGTCGGGTTCTACAAGCCCTGTGTGTGCTGCTTTTAATTACCTTAATGTCTCATATAATTTGCAAAATAGAATACCTTTTTAAAGGTTTCCTACCTAGAGTTCTCTAAGTGTGTAAACACTATAACTTTGTTAAACAAACAATTGTAGCCATACAGTAAAAAATAAAAAGACAGACTTTTGAGTGAAAGAAAGGAGTTAAAAAAGGAAGAAGAGTGAATAAAGGTACCTGCTGAAACTTATTAAACTGATGTTTCACATAGTCTTGGAAGAACAAACATAAAATATCACATAGGAAATCTATCCACAGATAGCACTTTAGAAGATTTACAAAAGACTCTCTGACAAGTATTTTTATTTAAGTGTTCATTGCAACATAAACTTGTCTTAAACATTGACAGCAGGAAGACAGGGATATAACTGGCTTTTGTAGAAAGTTCCCTGAAGGGCTAATCTTTCAAACAGAATCACAGAATACTTAATTTTGTGGGGAAAAAAAGTAAAAAGAAAAAAAGAAAAAAAAAGAAAAAAGAAAAAAGAAAAAAGAAAAAAGAAAAAAGAAAAAAGAAAAAAGAAAAAAGAAAAAAGAAAAAAGAAAAAAGAAAAAAGAAAAAAAGAAGAAAAAAGAGCACCTGTCTTAGCATTGAAAGTTGTTTTTTTTTATGACAGAAAGAGCAAAACACCTAACAGGTTTGATCCTGCAAAGTCTTACACCTAACACGACTCTTGAATAATTCTCCTGATGCCGTGGTGCCTATGCGGATGCAGACAGTGACGTACATGGAGAGTTAGGACCTTGGTACTGGTGCCCAGATGCTAAGAACACCTATACTCCTTGCTGACACTCCTCAAGCGAGCAAAGCTAAAACCATGTGTTTGGAGGACAAGAAATCGCGAGTGATAACTTCATTAGGAGCCCTTGTTACTAGAGCAGGACCAAACCCATTTCGCAATGGGAGGAGTACTGCTTTGAATCTGTTTGAGCAAGACTGAGGCTTTCCAACTCAAAAGATGCATTAACACTCCAGAAAAAGCACTGGTAATGCAAACATTGGCACATTGAACCTCTTGGCGTCCTTTTCCTCAACAAACAGAAGCAAAAGAAGCAGAAAATGCATAAATGGATATGCAAGTACTGTTCATACAAAGAACAAGTAATCTGTGCCTGTGCTATTATCAATGGTCTTTTGGTTAAGCATCTCAAAAATGAAACAGGAAAGGTACCTGCTTGTACACAGGGGCAAAACATCCTGAAAATGAAACAGCACAGGTATACTTTTGCAAATAAGGGCACTAACTCAATGAGGACCTTAAAGAGAACACAATACGACAATAATAAATATTAGTCCAATAAGGCTTGACCCCAGCTCTAAAATAGTCATTAGGGCTAACTAATAGTTGCTAACTATTCCAAGGATCAATTGCTTGTCTGTATTTCCTCATTGAGCCAATCTATGCTTCACAGTGTGAATTAGCTATCTATTTAAAGGTATCCTAAAAGGCACGTGAACAGAAAAATAAGAAGGGGAGAACCCTGCCTTAAAACTATTTGTGTCTTTCCCTTATTTCTTCTTTTGATGCTGACTCTTTTGGAGCAAGACCCATGTTTTTTACTTTGGGTTTTGATCAGTGCCCATTACAATACGTCAAATGAAGCCCTCAGACGTTAACCACATTGCAAGAAGGAGTTTTTGGCCATGGAAACAAAGCCAGCATAACTCCTAGGTTGCTGTCTTTAATCACAGCTTCTCTGCATGCGCTTTTTGTTTGTTTGCTTCCCTGAGCTGCCTTACAGAGATGAGCAGTCAGCAAGATTTCAGTCGAACTATTTATATTAAGAAAGTGTGCAGGATTTGGTCCCAAACTATGCTCACAAACACACAGAAAAAGTGCTTCCATTTCTTGTGTTTCACTTTTAATTTCTGACTCTGTAATAAGCGAGTTTTCTTAACCCCAGTCTGAGCCACCTGGAGCAGATCTGTGTGCCTGCACAGAGCCCTCCATGAAAAGTTCCTTTGAAGCCTGAGAGGCATCCACGTTATTTCCATATCTCCGGCTCTGACTCAGCAAAGCCGTTCGCCATGTGCTTCAGCCGGACTCAACCCAGGGACTGAAGTAGGCACTGAAGTGCTGGGCTGAATATGATGAAGTGTGGGTCTCCGCCGAGGTGCCTTCCTACCCTGTAGTCTAGTGCTGTAAGCCTCAGTTTCCCCATGCCAAAAGGGGTCAGTCACTAATTACATTAAAGGAATGGTTTTAGAAATTAATTTTCTACAGCATTTTGTTTCTGTATGAGGGGGGAGGATGTACTTGATATTTCTTAATGTCTCAGAAAATGTTATGATTTCTTAACAAAAATAAATGCCATAGAATTGATGCATACTTTGCCTGCTATCTAAGAGACGACTAAAAGCAAGAATAGAATTTTTCGTTAGCAAACACTGGATATATTAGCGAGAAACAGTATAATTTCAAGCATAAACAGCACTGAACTGTAATGTAGTATTTCCACTTGGACTTGACTGGTGGTGCTTGGATTGCTTTAAATTATGAGGTCAAATACTGAGAGGGGCAGACAAACACAAGAGACAAATCAATATCTTTTTTTTCTTAAAAAAAAACTTTCTTATCTGAATTAAGGCAAACTTCATTTATATAGTATACATTAGTATACAAATATATAACAGAGTCTTTAGCCAAATGCTGCATGGCTTGAAACATTCACTATAAATAAAACCTCAGGCAGAGATTTGAGGCCCGATTCTGCATCACAGAAATTAAATCAGAGTTTTACAGTCAACTTTGTTGAGCACGGTCTCAAAAATCTCAGAGCACTGTTTGCAGACAGCATGGAAAGATTAACAGCAGGTATTTATTGAAGGAAAAAAAAATAAAAGAAAGATAAGCAGTAAAATCTACAAACCTTGCAGGGAGCGGAGGGTCAGCTTTTCCAGCCACTAACCAGGAAGACCTGTGGTAAGCATATCTGTATCTTTTATTGTCCACCGGAACTATATCCATTAACACAATGTATTTGGCTTCAGGATCCACTCCGGAGAAGGAAACCCTGATTGTAGGAAACATTCTCCTGAAATAAAGGCAAATGAGAAAATAAATACATGCATGGAGAACAGAAATAAGAGAACTTCTGAAAAGCTGCTACAAGAAATAATTATATTTAAACCACCTGAAAGAAAATTAAAGCATCTGTTGATTCTGCTTCAGCATGATAAATGTTAAATCCTGTGTGTCTCTCTAATACACATAGAAAGAGCAGCTTGAAATTGGAACGATTATTTGGAAGCAAAAAGAAAAAATAGTAGAAGTGAAAAAGTAAAGAAACATGTATTTTGACTGTTAGCTAAAAGTACACAACGATTGCAGAAAATAGTTGTACCTTAGGTACCTAAGACCTGAGAATCATAGATTTGTTTTAAAGGGATCCATGCTAGTGTTAGGGAAACACTGCAGAAATTATTTCTGTTAATTTTCTCACATATTTCAGATGCATTTTTTTAAGCCTGCTAACAGTATTTCTGAGAGGAATTTTCAAAACTAAACTTTGCTTCCTTCACGGAAATTTTAACTAAACACCTTTTTAAAAATGTAGTATTTTGCTGTAGATCAGAAATAAAGTTAAAGAACTTCAAACAGTTTAAAAATTGGAACTTCAAACTGCAGATTTTATATGTAGGGGTTTTCGTTCGGTTGTTTGGGGGTTTGGTTTGGTTTTTTGCTTGTTTGGGTTTTTTTTTAACACATGCTGGTAGAGCTCGCCCGTTAGAGAAAAAGAAATCATCAGAGACTTACATTAATAACAAGTAACTTCGGGGATTACAAAACCCGACAAGACGTTTGCCTTCTCCAGACTGCATTTGACTGACCCAGACTCCAACAATTTTACCAAAGAAACGGCGTGGCTGGAGTTGCCAAGAAAGCCTGAGATCCTTTTTGCACTTTATTTGCAATCCAGAGAAGCCTAACCCCTGTCTAAATTATTTCCCCACGAACCCCCGTTCCCTCTTATTAAGGAGCTTCGCCCTCTTCCTCCCCTTAGCTTCTCTCCCCAAAATAAAAACTGTAGTGTTTTTAACACTGTTAATGTTTTAAAAAAAAACATTTGTTTTGCCTTTTTTCCCTCCCACTCCAAAGCTGCTCCGAGGCCTCCCAGTCTTACCTCCCGGATTTGGTGATGATCATCTCAGTCCCCAGCTCATGAAACTTGTCCCAGAGCTCTTTGGTCTCCAGGCTGCAGGAGATTTTGGCCATCTCCTCGCTGGGGATGATGGGGGTGGTGGGGATGAGGGGCTCGGTGCAGAGGGACGAAGGGCTGGTGCTATAATCCCCGTGAGGGTCCAGGCTAGATAAATCACTCAAAGGCTGGGCGCAAGAGGATTTCTCAACGAATTGTTCTGCAGGGTTTGGAGATTAAAAAATAAAAAAATTTAAAAATAAGAGAGAGAGAGGATTTAACCAAGACGGGGCGACCGCCGAGAATTTTTTTTTTTTTATAAAGCATTTATTGTTCAGCTACCTCCCCCCTGATCCGCGCTGCTTCTTAGGCGTCAGCTCATCATCGAGGGGTTGAGGCAGTGATTTCGGAGCATTAGACCCGGGAAGAGTCCGGCTCGGCGCCTGCCCCTGAAGAAGAGGTGCCCGGATTGCGGCAGGGATTAACGCGGCCGCGGCCCCATCGCCGCCCGCTTCTTGCCCGCTCCATGGGGCGCGGAGAAGCAGGGCGAGCCCCCCTCGGTAACCGAGGGTTTCCATAGAAAGGTCACTAATTCTCATTAAAACGGGAGCACCGGGCTGCTGGGGGGCTGCTGAGGGCCGGGGTCACGCTGGGGGAGCTGCTCCTAAATTGCGCCACTGACAGAGCGCGTAACACAGAAAGAGCCCAAGCAAGGCCGCGCAGGCTCCGCGCTTCGTCCGCGGGGAAACGAGCATGAGGACTAGGCAACTTTGAGCGGGCTGAAGACATCCCGTCGGAACAACAGGCACCGCCGCAGCTGCATGTGGCCGAGCAACCTGCGCGGGTGCGGTAGCTGCGCGCCGGGGCGCCCGCGCG